CAAGAACACCCTACCTCTTTTTCTTCCCAGAGCAAGAATCTGGGGGCAATCAGACCCATTCTGTCTGGCTGACAATGGCCAGGGAGAAAAAAGGGATGTCTCTGAAGTCTGTGAGCATCTCTGATATATTGGGGTTCTCGTTCCCCAGATGTTTTAGGCACTTCCTTCGGGAAGAGCCCCATGTGTGCTTTTTGCCATGTGAGAGAAGAAATTGTGTGTTGTGCCTCATTAAGCAGCTTGTCATTTCTGTGCGGGCAGGCATTTGTCTGCTGTGCCCTCCAGGAGAGTGAGGTTCAAAAAGGAAACACTCAAGTAACAATATATTCCTATTTTTCAGCTCAAGTATCCATCTTCTTTCATTTGAAATAAATTTGAGAAAATTGGCAAAAGGTTAAGCCCCTTAATTTTTGACTGTCTGGGGAAAGCTTCTCTGTCTCTTCTAGACCCACCCTTCTATCAAGAAGTCATGCAGGTAATTAATTTTTTTTCTATTCAGTTAAATAATAATAATAACAAAGCTACCATGGCAACTACTACATTGCAGGACAATGATGTTACACACGAGACATGACGCAGCTCCTTAAACACCAGCACGTGTCCCATGAATAGCCAGGGCTTTTGGGAGGCAGGCCTGGGGGAGGGGAGGAATAGGTTTGCAGTATAATGGAATTTGTTTCCAGCTTGTGAGGCTATGTCTAGACTACAATGATTTATTGGGAAAAGGCACACACATTATGCTCTGCAATTTGCGTACCTTTTTCCGATAGTTTTTTTGGAAGAGGCTTTTCCGAAATTTGTCCCATCTACACTGGGCCAAATTTCAGAAAAACCTCCTCTTTCGATAAGGAAGACAGGGCTTCCAAAAGAGCACTTTTGCACATCGGCAAAAAAAAAAAAAAAGAGGGCACAAGAGCAGAAGCGTTGCCTGGACGGGAGTTTTTCCAGGATACCTCCAATATACAGAAAAACCCTGTAGTGTAGACATAACCCAACTGTTCATTTTATTTTACTGTTTTAACTGATTCAAGTACCCCACTTTTGACAGCTGAAAGATCCAGCCCTTCTTTTTCAAAGGGAACCTCTCAAAAGTGTCAGTTCTAAAATCTGACCTGTCTTTTTTTCTGGACCTGTGCAAAAGCTGGTAATTTTTTTTTCATTTAAAACTCTTTTTGAACACAACAAAAACTTGTGGAAACTTTTCATTTTAGTAAAAATTTTTCTATGAAAAATTAAACATTTTTTGGAAAGGATGTCCACCTCCCCAAATAGATTTTCTGGTTTCAGTTAGTTGAAAAATGAGGGAGTAAAGCAGAAAATTATTAAAAAACCCACCCTTATGTGTGGGGGTTTGCTTCTTAAATGTTCCCTGAAAAATAATTGGCAGTTTTGGAACAACGCTAAGCTGAGCTTTTGCTTACAAGGCACCTAATACACTTGAACCTTTTTAATTTGGCAACCCTGGGAAACAGGGTTTGCTGGATTAAAGATTTTGCCAGGCAGGAAGGGCGCTGTGGCTATGGGATTGATGAGGAAAAGCTGAAGGGGAAATGCATTACTGCACTGTCACCCCCCTCAACTGGGTTAAGTGCACAGAGCCTCCTCCATACCACGTGTGTTCCCAGCATACGGAGGTTCAAGTATACCCCTGTTGATGTCACTGGGACCTAAAAGTCCCCAGCAAGACTCAAGATTGCAAGAGCCTGGGCAAAAAGGGGAATAGGGCACATTTGGGGCCTGCCAAACATACCAGCTCCTATTGATTTCATTCAGAGATGTGCTTGTTCAGCACATCTGATAATCAAGTCCATGTAGGACTTCCACTAAGCAAATGCTTGCTTATTTTTTCTAATAAAATGTAAGCCAAGCACACCTAAGAAGCAATGAGTTACGCGGAACTGGCTCCTCTCCAGCAGCATTTCCCCTTCTAAGGCATTAAACAAATACAAGCTGAATTGGGCATTTTGAAAGTTTCTCACTTGGGGTTTCAGCTTGGTAGGTAAGAATCAGCAGGCGATAAAGCTCAGGGCAGGACACTGGTATTTAAATTAAAAATCCTGCTGGTTCGTTTAGCTGCCCTTTACTACAGCCTCTTCAATAGCTCGTGAGAGGAAAGATGGGTCCTGTGGTTAAAATCCTAGACCAGGTTTCAACATACTCCTGGCTCGATCTGTCTCCCTCTGACTTTGGGCAAATCCCCGTCACCTCCTTATGCCTCTTTCTCCTTGGACCTTTCTCGTACTCCTTGTCTGTCTTATCACTTTGGGTTGTACGTTGGCAGGGCAAGGATAGTTCTCTTCCTGTCTGTAGAGTGCCTAGCGTGATGGAGACTCAATGACTTGGAGTCTTTATGCTCCATCACAGCACATAATACAATAAAAATGGCCATGTGGGGCCAAGCCGAGGTCCATCTATCTCAGCGTCCTGGCTTCCATTGATGGAGCTATCCTGCAGCACAAGTACTATTAATAAATAATGGCCTGCCAGGGTAGTAGCAGAAGTGTCTTTAAACAAAAATTAAATCCAGTCTGAGCTTTCTAGATAAACTTCTAGAGCGTTGCCTCCCACAAAATGCCCCTCCTGTTTTTCAGGAATTAAATACGTTGGCTGGAGAAGCAGCAACCCTAGGTCAGTGTCTTAGTTCATGACAGTGCTTAGCGCTTGCACTATGCTGGTCAACCACAGTCTCTCTGTTCTGCGTTGTTCCACATGAAGCTTTGGAACCCCCAAAGGCGGGGTAAAGTCAAGCAATGACTTGTCTGTGACTGTTCCCAAGCTGCGGCCCAAAGTCTGCGAATCAGGAATTGGCAGTGGTCAACACGAGCGAGGGCCCACAAGTCCTGAGAGCCAGCATTCCCTTCTAGCTCAAGCTGAGAGCCAACACGTCTCTCCTGGTTGTGTCATATGCTGGGGGGTAACACAGAAGGACAATCTGCTTACACACCAAAACTGGCTCTTCATTAAGAGAACTATTTACAGAGACGCTGGCTCCTCACCTAGCATCCCACCTGGAATAGCTTTCTGGGGCCTCTATCAAATTCTTCTCTCCTGCCTGAGCCTGAATGATAGGATGGGGCTTCTCACTGAAATTAAACAATGGAGGCCAAAGGCAGGGGTGATGTGCATGGTGGTATACCTCAAGGCAGTGGGTATGAACTGGTGTTGTTTATAGGCCGAGAGGCTGGCAGGACAGCAGAGTTGCAGGAAAAGCAACCAGCAGGAGGATGTAAAAAGGTAAAGTAGGGAGATCTCACTGACTAAATATTCTGAGCAATTAGTGTGTGTATATAGATATATAGATAGACACGGGGTCTGATCCACCTGCTGACCTGCATCATGGATTTCTGTGCCTAGCATAGCCAAAGGGCTCCATAGGGAGACATGATTCTTCCCTGGCTGGTACAATTGTAGTATCAGCGCTTCTATTATTGCTCTAGGAAAAGGCCAGCTAGGATCCTGAAACTTGCATAGTACATTAAGAGCATTGTTAATCTGTCTAATATACCTCCACTTTGCTAAACAACAATGAAACATAATATCATGGGTAAAACCCTCTTCATTACATAACCCAAATAGAGAGAGAGACTGCAGAACTGGAATTCATCTACAACTTTGACACTGTTACTCAGAGCTTGAATAAAGACATTAGCTGGTTAACGCACTGCAAAGCCAATTTCCCCTTCCTTTGACATCCACACTTCCACATGGAAAGCTACGAATAGGACACATCTAGCCCACTTAATTAGCTTCATTAACAAAGCTCCTACAATTGACAGGTAATTGCATTTGCTCTTCTAAATATCTTGGTTTTTGTTATTTCTACTCCAACTCATCTGAATAAGTGGGTTTTACCCACAAAAGCTCATGATACTATATATATTTTGTTAGACTAACATAGTTGCTTCATGAGACTGCAAACTGATGGCATACTCGCTTATCTTGTTTGGTGCCAAATGATTAATGACTGGCTGCTTTCTAGACTGGTTCTCTGGAGGCATGTATAAAAAAGGCAGGTGAGGCAAACAGATCACCCTCTTGTGCCTGAGAAAAGAGATGGGCTTTGCACTGTGTCCTGGAGGCCAGCAGACATGGCTTTGTCAAACCAATGGTGGTTGGGGGTGACTTTGAGCTGAGGGCTTTCTGGTTCAAGGCTTTGTTGTCTCAAGAGTCAGGTCCTGCTCTTGATACTAACTGACTTGCTCAGATTAACAGTGAGCGGTTTGATGGGCTTGTTCTACTCTCTGGCACTTGTGCAGTGATTTTCTGAGATGTACAGTTCCCAGGAGGCTTTGCAGCGATGCAGGTTAGAGATAGGGAGACGGAGATGGCAGGGAAGTAAGATGACTTCCCCAATATCACACATGAGTCTGTGACTGGCCTGGGAATGAGACCTCTAAATCCTGATAGCATCACCCCTTTTCCTAGTTCCATGTTGTTTGTTTCCATCCCGGGATGGGATGACACTTTTATATGCAAGGCAAAAGAACTGAAGAGTTTGCCTAGGGCACAAGATGCATTTGCATGAACAGTTTGGAGATTTTTGCTTTCTGTGACCATTTTTGCAAATGTAAAAGATCACTGGCTGATGGTCACAGAAAGTGATTAGAAAGGGTTTTGTGCAGTGTGAATGTGTGTATGCCTGTTTGTGAATACTCCCTTTGTGGTGTTTTCCCATCTCTTGTTGGATGTGGGAGAATGATTACCTGAGTCGCTGACTACAATCCTAATTCCAAGGGGTGGAGATTTCTTTAAAGCAAAGATCCATCTTGCCCTGATGCATGCTCATTATTCCATTGGAATTATGTCACTCGCCAAGACACCCCCTTTGTTCAGTGAATGATGTTATGAAACAATACCCTTTAAGTTAATCAGTATTGGAAAGCCAGGGCTTGCTTTATAGTCACTGTCTTTGATGTCTTTGGTAGTTCATGTAAGGATCTGCCTCTATTTTGCTTTGATTGACAAGCCCCTTTCTATAAATTTGAGCAATTAAGCAGCCCAGTAGCAGCTGCTAAGGAGATCTGCTAAGAGCAAACCCGATACCGACTGCTGAGCAGGTCTCCTGCCATTCACTCTGACATTCTGAAATACCATCTGCAATTTAAAACGGCACAGGCAGATTTGTATCCAGCAAGTTAGGTAAGTGTACTTCTGTGTTTGCTGTATGTCACTGCTGCAGCTCAGGATTAAACCAGGTCTTGCTAAGGTGAGAGGGAGTAAATGTTCAATTTGTACTGAAATTTATGGTCAAATATCATTATTTAAACAAATAAGGAGTTTTAGGTTTTCTTTACATGAAAAATACAAGCTTAGCTCATACATTCAGTATGTGCACACCAAAACCTGCATATCTGCATATGTGTGTGTACACACTGACATATGTAATATCATGCACTGATGTTAAATTTTGGAAAGGCATCCCAAACTAAGCAGTTAGGTCAAGTTTCTATTTAATCTGCCAAATCATCTACTGGTGTAAATAGATATGGGTCAATTGGCTTCAGTTGACACTGATTTGTACTAGGTAAGCATCTGGCTCTGAGGAGGCTGTGCTATTTTCTGTACAGATGGCTATATTCCTGAGATTAAATTTCAGTACCTGGGGTTTTTACAAGGAACACTTTATATGAAATAAAAGTTTCAAAGGTACAGTATGACTATAATGGTCTAGGCCAGCAGTTCTCAAACTTTTTGGCCAGTGGCTCACCTGCTCCTTTCTGTAGACCGCCAGCCAACCACCCATGATGAAAAAATGGGTGCTGAAGGGGATAGGAGTGAAGGGTCTGGCTTGACAGGTAGGGTGCAGGAGTGGGCTGGAGGTAGGGAAATTGGGGCAGGAGGTAGGGAGCAGAGGATAGGTAGGGTGCAGGAGCGGGCTGAGGATAGGGGGGATTCAAGGGAGAAGGAGGGTGCAAGAGTGGGGTTTGGTTGCAGGGTCTTGGCAGGAAGAGGGTGCATGAGGAGGATGGGGGAGCATGTATCTGGCTCTGAGCCTCCTGTTGCTTCCAGGCACTGCTTCCTGCTGCTCCCATTGGCTGTGATTCTGGCCAATGGGAGCAGCTTCCAGGCAAGCTGTTTCCTGTGCTGCTGTTCCCCCAGCTGGGGGAAGAGGGAGCAGCAGTGCGTGGAATTGCTTCCTTCCCTCTCAAGCCAGATCTGGTCTGTGAGGCTCCCCCACCTGGCAGTGGGAAGCCAGTGCTGGCACTGCAACCTCGCAGGGGGAGGCCACGGGGCTGGAGTGCCAGTGCAGGCTCCATGCTGTGGGAAGAGGGAGAGAGAAGCCATCTCCTCTCTCCTGCTCGCTCCTGGATGCACACAGGAAGTGGATGACTTGGGGACAGTGCCAGCACTGCTGATATTGCCTCCACACTCAGAACTAGATATGCTAGCTCCTCTGGGGCTCATCCTGTCTCACAGCCTCCCATATGTCTCCTATTGGCCGCGGGGTGCAGCATGAAGCTCCGTCACGTGGTCCTAGGCTCCCTGCCTGTCCTGATTCTGGCCGGCTGTGTCAGCGCACTCAAAGCCTCCAACGCCAACCTGCGCACGTTCATTGGCTGCGCGGTGCGTGAGTTCACCTTCCTGGCTAAGAAACCCGGCTGTAAGGGGATGCGCATCACCACGGATGCCTGCTGGGGGCGCTGTGAGACGTGGGAGGTGAGCAATACCTGAGGGGCGCCTGGAGGGGGCAGAGGGGTTGCCTAAGGAGCTAGCTTTTCACCAGTGTTCCTCCACCCACTTACCATTGTGGGCCACATATGCAGCTCTCTGTCTGTGTGTTATGTAGGTCGCATCCATACAATCCATTTACACTCCCTTATGGCCCTGAGTATGTCACATGAGTACAGCTGTGTGCTGATTGGGCTGCAAGCGGGCTGTGGGTTGAGAGCCAGGGCTGTAAATGGTACCAGTTTTGGGGTCACTATTTTTTCCCCCAAATGGAGATCAGTAAGTGGTTCAGGAAACAGCTTATGGTTCTCCCCTATCACCGGGGAGGTTGGTCTCATGAAGCCCCCATGAATGATGACTCAGGAGATCTGCATTTGACTCCTGTTTCTGCCACAGATTTCCTATGTGGTCATGGGCTAGTTGCTTAATCCAGCTGTGCCTGGGTTCCTTGATGATAAAACAAGGCTATTCCCCTTCTCTCTGTCTTTCCCTGTCTGCCTGTCTTTACTAGGTGTTTGTAGAGCACCTCTCATGGTGGACTGTTGTCTCAGCTGGGCCTTGATGAACTGTAGGGATGTTAAATATCAATGAATTAACTAGTCGAGTAACCTCACGAATTTTTATTGGTTAGTTGAATATTCTATAGTCCCTGGGTCTGGAGCCAGCAGCCAATGTGCTCTGGTTCCACGCCCGAGGAGCCCCCTGCTACTGTACGCTGCTGCCTCTATATCAGAGAAACCAGCATAGGGTGCCAAGCTCCCCTGGTGGACTGGCTGCCTATTGCCCTGGGCTGCTGCCTCTGATAAAGAGGCAGCAGTGCAAGATGGCAGCAGTCCCCGTCTAGGGCAGGTCTGAGCTCCCAGATCCATCGCAAGCCAGGACTGAGCAGGGCTGTTGGCTAGCCTGCTAAAAAATATCCTGCGGGACAGGGGAGCAAATGTGTGTCGTCTATAGCATTAACCAATAAGCTTTTGCTTATCGGTTAATCAGTTAATTGACTACACTATTACATCCCCAATGCACTGTTGTAATGCACATAATAAATAACATAAGACCAGCCATACTGGGTCAGACCAAAGGTCCATCTATCCCAGTATCCTGGCTTCCAACAGTGGCCAATGCCAGGTGTCCCAGAGGGAATGAATAGGACAGGCAGTCATCAAGTGATCTCTCCCCTGTCGCCTATTTCCAGCCTGTGACAAACAGAGGTTAGGGAAACCATTGCTATCCATCCTGGCTCATAAGTATTAATGGCCCTAACTTCCATGAAGCTAGTCACAAGACTGTGCTTGGCACTCAATGAACCAGCATGAAGGCAAAGTCCTAGGTCTGGTGAATGATGGTCAAAACACAAGGGACAGTGATTGGCCAATTTTAACCATTGTTCAGGAGAAACCCCCACATCCTGTGGTAATAGGTATGAAGTGCTTATCTCTGACTCTCATTATGCAATTTGAAAGCCATGTGTGGCTTGACCACTGAGGGGAAAGAGCCTTTTATGACTTTACCAAAAGCAAATTCCTTTGAGATTAAAAAGGGGCCCTGGGTTCCTGGGTAATATATTTCGTTCCAAACGGCACATCCCAAAAGGGAATGTCTTTCTAATTTGTAAATTGCAGCCTGGGATAAAAGTGAGGTAGTTCTGTTCTGGATGGGGGCTGGAAGTGAGTGGATGAGAGAGCAAGTCTACACACGTTAAAGATCAACCTCATGACTCACTTTAGCTTGCTGTAATGTAAACGTTTAATGGGCTGGCTCCTGATGTTTTTAATCAATGAAAATCTTATTTAATGTCAGTGGGTTTTGCTGACTAAAGCAGGGGGACTCATTCTGCAGATAACTGACAGGAGAAGAAACCAATTTTTGAATTTTGGTTCAGACTTTCCTACTCCTTTTATTGCCTGGGGGCAAGGAGGCTGGACCTCTGCTACCAGTCCCACGTGAAATAAACTGATGTGGATGAAGGGATGCGTGTGAGGGTTCCTCCTTCTCCAGCCAAAGGAGCCTTTGAACACCAGATGAACCTTGTCACCTAGCTCCAGCAGTTCCCACTGATCCCCGGAGAAGCCAGATACTGAAGTGGCCACTAGAGAAGAGTTAAGCTAAATTCATTAAGTTCCTGGCCCTCCTGTTACTAGAGTTCCAGGTTGTGTTGTATGAGGGACTTCTGAAACACATGGGCTACGTCTAGACTGGCATGATTTTCCGCAAATGCTTTTAACGGAAAAGTTTTTCCGTTAAAAGCATTTGCGGAAAAGAGCGCCTAGATTGGCACAGACTCTTTTCCGCCATTTTTGCCATCAGGGCTTTTTTGCGCAAAACAATACCACGTTGTCTACGCTGGCCCTCTTGTGCAAAAGCATTTGCACAAGAGGGCTTTTGCCCAAATGGGAGCAGCATAGTATTTCTGCAAAAACACTGACAATCTTACATGAGATCATCAATGTTCTTGCGGAAATTCAAGCGGCCAGTGTGGACAGCTGGCAAGTTTTTCTGCAAAAGCAGCTGCTTTTGCAGAAAAACTTGCCAGTCTACATGCAGCCATGGAGTCTGTGGTCAGTCTGCCAGGACACCTGGGACTCTCCTGCCTGCCAGACACATGGCAAGCCCTTTTCACAGCCACAGAGGGGAAAGTGACCACAAATTAAACTACTTCTGTGCTCTACTAGCTGAGGCTGTTTCCCGCTGCAGGGGGCAGAAAAATCCAGAGGAGTCCAGCTGGCTCCCTCATATTTCTCTACCCTCCATTCTCCCCCATCCACTCTTTCAAACTTCTTGTGAGGAGAAAAGAGGGATCATGTTGCAGAGATGTAGCTTCCTATCTCCACGCGCAGGCACAGGCTGCCCACCACTTGCAAGCTGCAGCTGGGCTCAGTACAAGGGGAGCCAGACCCAGCATTAGTACTGTTAACAAAATGGAGGTTGGGGTTGTTTTGGATTTTCAGTGACATTCAAAACAATTTTTTTGCCCCAAACCTGGAAAATAAATCTATTTGGAAATGGCTCTGTAGTGGTCTGTAGCTATTGTATTACAGCTGCCTCGTGCCCTGTTTTCCTTCTGGGCCAGACTACACCTCCCATGATGCACCATGGTTTCCCTTCTTGCTGAGCCTCAGCAATGCATCATGGGAGTCCCATTGCTGCAGTGCTTCAGGGACTATATAGGTTGGCTGGAGAGCCTCGTCCATAGAGGAGATTGTGCAGCATCCATACAACAGCTCCTCCCACACAGCATTGTGGTGGCAATTATGAATTTTTTTTTTTTTGGTATTTGGATTTTTTGATGACAAGTCCACATATCCACAGAAAGCAGTATCATGTTTTGTGCAAAGTTTCACTTAGTTGAAACCCCAATATTCTATCAATAAAACAGTTTTGGGAGAAAAGGTTTTGGCTAGTCCTAGCCAGTACATTACATTTCAAAAGGACTTGTTGTGAAATGATCATAAACAAAAAAGTGAACTGGTCTAGTGCGGAACTGGGACCCATACCACAGTCAGCCTAAGAATAATTTTTAGACAGTCTCTATGGGACTGGGCCTACAAACCAATTGCCCCTTCTTCTGTGATTAACCCCATGGAAGTAACCAGGACTGTGGAGGTGACTTGGGGTTGCGGGATCTAGCCCCAGGGCTATTCGTGCCTGCTCAAAGCTGTCCTGAATTCCTCTTGCCTTTCATAGACTCATAGAACACTAGAACGGGAACGGACCTTGAGAGGTCAAGTCCAGTCCCCTGCCCTCCCGGCAGGACCAAGCATCATCTAGATCGAGGGTTGGCAAAATATGGCCTGAGGGCTGGATCTGGCCCACTTTGCTGCTGGATCCAGCCTCAGCCAGGCTCCCTGCCTGCTCCGCCCCAGCACACCACTCAGAAAAGCTGGCTGCAGGGTCATGTGCATCTGTGAACGCAACAATCCCGGGGAGAGGGCTGGAGAGGTCTTGTGGGAGCTGCTCCTGCCCCCAACACAATGTCCAGCTCCCATTGGCCAATTTCTGTGCAATGGGAGCTGCTTGTTTGAAGAACAGGCAGCATGCCAAGTACTCCTCCCCACCTCTCCTCGGGCTTCAGAGCAGCACACATGGTCCCTGCTGCTCTGAGCAGCCTGCAGGAGCATGGAGGGTTGGAAGCCTGACTTCGAACATTCTGGGCTACTGGCTGGGGTTGCTCAGGTAAGCATCTCCTGGCCAGAGCCTGCGTCTGGCACCTGAGCCCCTCCCTCTCCCAACCCTTTTGGCCCCCTTTTTCACTCCTACCTCACATAATCCAATCCCCTCCTGTACCCAGTCCCCTTCCCAGACCCTACTCCCTCAGCCACTTGTCTCTGGTCACAACCCCCTCTTGCCCTAGGTCACAACCTAAACCCTTGCACCCTGTCCTGTACTCCAGTCCCCTGCCCCTGGTCACAACCCTAAATCCTTCCCAGATCCTACACTCACTCCTACACCCGCAAGCTCCCTTCTGCACCCAACCTCCATCCCAGACCCCACACCTCCTCCACTAATATCATAAAAGAGTGCGGCCCTTGACCCCTTTTGGAGTGGCTCAGCATAAAAAATTATTGCTCACCCCTGATCTAGCTCATCTCTGACAAATGATCTTTTGTCTGACATCAGCATTTCCCCCCCAACTAACAGAAACCAGTGCTGGATCCCCCGTACATCGACGCGCACCATCGAGTCTGCACCTACAATGAGACTAAGCTGATTACGGTGAAGCTGCCGAGTTGTGCTGCCGCTGTGGATCCTTCCTACACGTACCCTGTGGCCATACGGTGTGACTGTGGGGTTTGTTCCACTGCCACTACTGAATGTGAGACGGTCTAAGTCCCCTGTCACCTGCTGGACAGCTGCTCTAGGCATCATGGGCCAAACTCTGTCCTGCTGTACACACAGTGTAACTGCAGGGTTGTGGGTGGTGTAAATCAGAATGGAATTTAACCCTATGGCCAGAATGCTTCTAATCAATGACCCTTCTGTACAGTAGAGGCATAAAGTTCTCCTGTCTGCCAGTTGTTTAAAGATCTGTTAGATGTAGTAATGTAATAAGGAGCCTCACAGCAACATATCAGATGGGAAGTACCAATACCATTTGTCTTAGCCACAGGTATTTCACAGTATGAGAACTTGCCTTATGCTTAAAAGGCACATTTAATAAGAAGTCATAGATGTGTTGAAATTGACAAAAAGAGCATTAAGGGCTTAAGAACAATGAATTTGTACATTTCAGGTTTTATGTCTCCCAGCCTTGAGCCCTGAAAACAAACATACTCAATAGAATCCCCTCAACTCTCATTAGGCAGTTTCTCTTCCCATTTACATGGGTGTAAACCAAGAATAACGACAGCAAGGAACATGGAATTATAAGGCTTTAAGACCATTCTGAATGAGACCAGAACTGGGTTCCAAAACATCTGTAATATAAATGCAGTAATGCTAAGAAAATGGCATCATATTGATCCTCTTGCAGCAAAGCCCAAAAGCACTTGCTTAATCACTTTATGTAATAAGGGTGGAGTTTCAAACATGCTTCAAGTTAGCATGTTTTACTGTACATGAAATCTTATGCAAAAGCCAACCCAGAAGAAAAATCCTGAAAAAAAGAAAAAGCACTTCAAATCTGCAAGACGAAATGAATCATTTTGACCCATGCTGGTTCTGCTTGGGAAGAGGACCCAAACTGATTTAATGTAAATCAAACAGGCTCTCCACGGCCTGTGAGTCTCTCTTGATGATCCCTCCCAGTTTGTCAAGATGGTTCCAACCACAGGCCCAAAGGGGACTTTTGTGCCACATTGTTTCTAAGGACACCTGTTCTGTGGGAGGATGCACATACTATGAGCTGGAGTAATACAAGTAGGGTGCTCATCATTAGTGCTTTAGAATTGTGCCTCTGATGCCTAGCTAACATTGCCACAATAAATGTGATATGCCTTAGTGCAGGAGTTTCAATCAGCTACAAAGTCCATTGCAAAAATGTTTCTAAGCACACTCCAAAAGTGCTTAGGGATCCCACTGATCAAAACGTGAGGAGGAGGCATGTCCTAGTGGCTAGTATACCCCAACAGTGCCCCGACTTGCTTCATAAGTGTCCCGTGGTTGGCAAAGAGGATTTGGTGTCTTCTATTCCTGAATGGTTTCATCCTACAAAAAAGGTTGGTTTGGATTTTTGTGAGAATGAGAACTTGGCCCATTGTGGGCTGTTAGCAGGAACACACAAGAGAAAAACAACTTTCCAACATAGTGGTGATAGGCTTTTGGAACTGATGACTGTCAAACTTGTAGTTTCCTCACCTGGACCCTGAATAGTGATTGAAAATTAGGCAAATCAAACAGCCTTGTTGCCTAGTTAGATTTCCTTCTGGTCCTAAGAATGCATTGCTTAAAACCACCAAGGAGGCTTGCTTGAAGTTTCATCTGCCCTTTGAAACATATCTTTTCATTTAAGCTGTAATTTATTAAACGCTGTAATTTTGTGTCTGTTGAACTGTAAAAGTTGCTTGCCACTTGTGTAGGAATCATGATTGATGTGCATAGCTGTGCCCTGCAGATCCCTTGAATACACCGATTGCTGCCCTGAGTGATAGCGTAGGAGCAGTTTTCTGCTGTCCAGGATCTTAACTGCCTTTAAACAATTCTGCAATTTGTCTCAATGTGCAGGTCACATTTCTCCAGTCATGTAAATGCCATTGCTCATATCATGAGCAACTTGCCCATTTCCCTGAGTCCTTAATAAAGCTGAATTCCTACTATGAAAGCCATTTGAGACGTGTTTCCATTTCATGGTTAACTAAGCTGCAGCAAACTGTTCTGGACACCTGTTAAAATTAAACTCTGTGAAGCTCAAATTTGCATCATTTGCCTGGCATTCTACCATGAGCCTGATTGTTCTGTAGGGGTATGTCTACACTACCACCCTAGTTCCAACTAGGGTGGTTAATGTAGTCATACGAACTTGCAAATGAAGCCCGGGATTTGAATTTCCCAGGCTTCATTTGCATGTTGCCGGGCGCCGCCATTTTTAAATGTCCGCTAGTGCGGATTCCGTGCCCGCAGCTACACGCGGCACAAACTAGATAGTTCGGATTAGGCTTCCTATCCTAATGTACGTGGGACGAGGCATACAGATAATTCAGAATAGGAAGCCTAATCCGAACTATCTAGTTCGTGCCGCATGTAGCCGCGGGCACGGAGTCCGCACTAGCGGACATTTAAAAATGGCGGCGCCCGGCAACATGCAAATGAAGCCTGGGAAATTCAAATCCCGGGCTTCATTTGCAAATTCGTATGACTACATTAACCACCCTAGTTCGAACTAGGGTGGTAGAGTAGACATATCCTAGCTGGTAGTCATAGGGTTAGGACTGAGGTTTGAGAGGGGTGATGTGCACTTCAGAGCCAACAGAGTATTAAGACTTTTCCCAAATGCGGCAGTGAGTAACACAGGGAAGCATAAGGATAAGACAGTGTCTAGGAGGAGCTATTGTGTACTATGACTGAACGTTCTGACTGAAGAGGAGGCCAGGCGGCTCGGGCGATGGAAGAGGAAGAGTGGGAAGAGCTGAGTGATTAGGACCAAACTAAGATGTTTAAATGTTTCCAAAGGAAATAGCAAAAACAAGTGAAGAAACTGAATGACTGGGAGGAATAAGGTGAAAGACTGAAGCCACTGATTCATTTCCTATGAACTCCTCTGAACTTTCATTGGTTAATAGTGGGCACTGTTAGTCTGTGATGGTACCCTTGAGATGGCAGGTGCTATTGCTTATTCCCCATTCAGTTGACTCTGGAGATCATCGAGTTGGCAGTATCATAATCATCATGTAAGGGGCTAAACTCAACATTGGTGTGAACAAGCATACATCTGGGATTTGCTTTGGGAGTCTTTATTCATGCAAGTTCCCATTGATGTAGTCCTTGGGAGCTGGCATCTGAAGTTGAGCTGAGGAAAGATCCTTTCACGCCAGGGCTGAATTTGGTCCTAGGCACACTCTCTCTTGTAAGGGATTGTTTTGATGGCGAGGATGGTAATTAAGACTACAGTTGCAGTTATATAAATTCTTCAGTAGTCTTTAGTGCAATATAGACTATTTGCACATGGGTCTTGGCTAATGTTGCTGCATTGCAGTGGTTTAATTGTTTGCAGTGGTTTAATGGCGGATAAATGCAGCGTATGCCCTGTGTAATAGTGGATCTGTAATCTCATACAACCTTGGAGAGAAAAATGAAGGATAACAAGTATGTGGAAAAGGGCAAACACATGACTTTGTGATAGTCACCGCTCATTGGGGAAGGCCATACATATGGCAATAACTTTCCAAAGCTCAGCTGAAAAATGCATCTTTGACAGTAGCCATAGCAGCCAAAATGCTCAACAAAGTTCACTCCAACTCATCTGATGAAGTGGGTTTACCCACGAAAGCTCACAATTCTTTACCTTTCTTCATCTCTAAGGTGCCACAGGATTACTCATTGTCAACAAAGTTCAGCTACTTTTTGTTCAGTGGGTGGAATCTATTTGCCAACTTGGGCTTTATTTTCTTTGTGGCAGACTGACAAGGGCTTATGGGTCAGCCAGGTCCACTAAAGCTAGAGGTGAAATTTGCAAATGAGGGTCCACTCAAGTCTTCATCTATCCAAGGTTGGTCAAGTGATGTCCCCTCTGTGGGTGCACACTGGTTACCACCTTCCATCCGAGATTATCCACTGGAGCTGGTTAGAGATTTTCAAAATTAGAAATTGTGACCAAACAGAAGACTAAAGTTTCATGAAAGTTTAATGTGCCTCTTTGCTCAGCTCCACTTTCTGCAGTGCAATCCCAAAATATAACTGCCTTTGAATAGCTAAGGTGGCTGGAGGCAGGACTTCCCGGGTGAGGGTCCCAAGCCTGCGATAAGCAGGAGATCAGGCGAGGTGATCACAATGATCCCTCTAAACCTTGAAAGCTATGAAGGAAACGTTTGACAAGAAAGGCAGCATCTTTTTTTAGCACATTTTCGTAACTTTCCTTTGCAGGAGAGCGATCAGATTCTTGTTTCCAGACCAGCACAGATGGGCTGTCTTACCTGCTATACTTTTAATATTTCACTTCTTTTCCTCCCCTCCCCTTGTTCAGGAGGAAGGTTATGTAACTAATCATCTTTCTTGTCATCGATAAGCTTTTTGTTGGAGGCTTTTTATTACCCACTAGTTAGAGTTGTCAGTGAGTTGCAGGAAACTGACATTTGTGTTAGAGTTATTAATAGCTGCTGTACTGGGAGTAGTCGCGCTGTCTGTTTGCCTGCTTTAAGCTGGCTTCTTTCCAAAATGCCATTAATATTCACTCACACACACAGACACACATGCACACCCTCTGTATGTTGTTTAGGTCAAGTGAAAAAATGCCATTAATGTTCTCTCACACATACACACCTTCTGTATACTGTTTAGGTCACGTGAAAATCTGTTTTTCACTAACCTGCTTTAGAAATGCATTACTTTCAGCTAGCGAAATGGAGCCATAAACGTGCACTTTTCTTGGGCGTGGTGCTTACTTGTGACAATCCCAGTGCCTTGTGAATACAAGACACCACTTAGAAATCTGGGCCCTTCAGGGCTGATGAAAGCCAGCCATTAGACCCTATGGGATCTCTGCCAAAGGAGTGTATGAAGCCATCTCCTCGTGACTTCCATTCTCTTCGGTCAGGGTTAGAACATCAGAATGGTCCAGCTGGCCCAGTATTCTGTCTTCTGACAGTGGCCAGTTCTTCAGAGAGAATGAACAGAACAGAGTAATTATCAGGTGATTCATCCCATGTCATCTAGACCAGCTCCTGGCTTAGCTGGAGTCAGGTAAACCTCTGTGTTGCCCCTTGTTTCAAATGTGCCAGGCTGACAGGGTACAGTGCGAGAGGCTGTGGGTTGCAGTGCCTGTTGGAAGTAACACCAGATGTTTTTGCAATAACACCAGATGTTTTTGCAGTTCTGTTTACTCGCAATATCCTGCAAACCAGAGGTGTTCAAAGTGTGTTTCAGCCTGGGTAAATAATACAGAGGCACTGGACAGTTACTGAGTCCCTCTCCAAATGAGGCCATCAAAAGACATAGTTTATTTTAACTGGATAACTGTATTACTATGTACAAGATATTAATGAATTGTTATAATACACACTAATTACATGTTTAAAAGAAAGTAAGCCAAAGCATACAGAATTCCGGTTTTTAAATAGAAACTGAACATTGTTAAACATTTGCATAAGAAAAATATGACTGCTAACATGCACTTGCTTGGTTTCAAGTTATTTTTTTTAATTTGAATTTTCAAACTGGGTCTGCATCCAGAAAGGCTATGACACCATCATGTCTGCGTAACACTAAAACTGTGTTTGAACCAGACCCTCTACAGAATGCTTTTAGGAAGAAATGTTAGCAGACACAGAAATTCTTGCATGAAGAAAAATAAATGCCTCAATTCTTAACCTGCTGTCTTCCCAGAAATTGGCTTATAATATGATAGAGCCAGAGGGAATGGTAGTTTTTGCTTCACAAGCAGATGAGTATGTTTCCATCATGAACAAATGTCACTGCAAAACATTTTCACTATTGTTTTTGACATTGCTGAAGTATTCAGGAAAAAAAAAGGAACGGAAACTCCTTTGTCTATTGTGTTCTTGAGTCTCAGGTTTCAGTGGAATGCTTTTATTTAACAACTGCGTCAACAAACTAACGGAAAGATCTGAATTCAATTACCTTTATGCTAAAAAATCTTAAATGTTTTGTCTCCTTGTCACTCGCTCTGTCTAGTCTATTTCCACTTTGATGCCTACAAGGTTCAGAAGGTGAGGGGAGGCCACATCATGGTCTGACTGTTAAGTAAAATGCCTACGTTGCACAGAAGTAGAAGCAGCATATAGTGTACGGGCTGCTACCTTCTATAATGAAAAACAAGCTGCGTCCGTGCTAGGGTGTCTAGCTATACATGTCAGGATGGGGTGGGGAATGCCAACAGCATCCTACTGTCAGAGTTTTCCCACGGTGAGGGAGGGCTCTAGCAGCGGAGAGCTGGCAGGCCCTTTTTCCCCTGCCAGAGCCTTTTCCCTCTGCTGGAGTCTTTTCCTGGGGCAGGGAAAGGCTCCAGCAGTGGGGAGGCAGAGGAACATTATGATGCCAACACGGCATTGTGGAAAGGGAGGTGTAATGCTGGCAGACCCCACTTGTCTGTGTGTGGAATCGAACTGGGGACCTCTTGAGCTTACAGCTTGAGCAAAAAGACATCTGGCTGTTAGCTAAGGCTGTAGAGCAGACTCAGCCTTCCCTCTGTGAGCAGTCTCTGCCACTGAATGGGTCAGTGCACCATGCTCAGGTGTGGGTATTACAGAGGCATAGTTTGGGTATGTAGAGATCCCCAAAGGGTACAGACCTGGGCACATCCTCACAGGTTTCAGGCATGTCTTTACTCTGTCTCATGGCCTATGCGTCTCTTTATCTCTGTGATGTACTCAACTCACTGCTGAAAAAAGTGTGCGGTGAGGAACCTTCTGGAAAGCAGAACGTTTGCTGGGGTTCCACCAGGCTGGCCAGAGATGCAAGTGCCGTGGGCATGACAGTTTTATAACCAGTCTCGTGACATGCTTCGCCCACAACCATTGCTCCACCCCTCCGGACCACCTCACGCGAGAAGGGGAGATCAACTCCCTTTGCCACAGAAATTGGCTTTCCCAGGGCCCCTTCTCCCAGAAGCACCTCTGAAATGCGTGGGGGTTTTAAAAGAATGTTTTAAAAATTTTAGGAAGTCTGGGCTCAGGCAGCCCTCCAGTCATGGCTGCATACACTACAGCGGCTCCACAAGTGGGAGGGCTTGCAACACTGGTTCCCAGTTTAAGACAAACATCGCGGGACTGCGGAATTTGT